TCTGTGTGCATAGATATCTATGGGATGGGACATAAATGACAACATGTATATTGTAATGTCACAATGCAACTTAATTGTTACATAGTGGAACGCAATATTACAACAAAGTAGGAAAGAATAGAGCTTGCATTATGCTATCACAATGCACAATTTATTATTTTCATGTCATAATGTAAGAAATGGACTCCCATGCTTATGCATAGAGTGTAAAAGCATATTCTTTTTGTAAAGGTTTAATAGAATGTCAAATATCAACTAAATTAAATTCAAGCAATCTAATCTAGATATGTATTAGAAAGTTGACAACATAATATTGGTGACAGAGTGTTATAATCCAAGAAGGCCTTCAATTTAATTCAAATTACCTTCAACTAGTATATGCTCCACTGACTTAATGTACATGTGTTGAGAAAATTATGTACTTGTTTTGTATAGTCTATGTTTGGAGCATGTAAATGTAAGAGTGATTAATGTGGATGACCCTGTCTGACAATGACTATAATAAATGATATTCTCCATCTGATAGTTCCTCTTCAGCAATCAATTTGGAAAGTCTGCTAAGTAACAAAGCAACATTCTAAATTTGTACTATTAGAGTTGCCATTAAGACAAACTTTTCCACCCAAGCTTTTTGTAAGACCTGCTTATTCTGAGGAAGAATATACAGTAGATAGACCTCGACTTTCAATGGTTTGTTTAGTGACCGCTCGAAGTTACCACGGCATTGAAAAAAAATGACTTATGACAGTTTCTCATACTTACGACTGTTGCAGCATCCGCGTGGTCATATGATCAAAATTCAGACACTTGGCAATTGACTCATATTTATTACAATTGCACTGTCCTGGGATCATACCTTTTGTGACCTTCTGCACAAGCAGAGTCATTGGGCAAGGCAGATTTACTTAACAACCATGTTACTAGAATTAGAATCAGAATAGAGCTGGAAGGGACCTTGTAGTCCAACTCCCTGCTCAAGCAGGAGACCCTATACCATTTCAGACAGGTGGCTGTCCAATCTTTTCTTAAAAACCTCCAACGATGAAGCACCTACAACTTCTGGAGGCAAGTTGTTCCACTGGTTAATTGTTCTCACTGCTAGGAAGTTTCTCCTTAATTCCAGGTTGCTTCTCTCCTTGATTAGTTTTTATCCATTATTTCTTCTCTTGCCTTCTGGTGCTTGGAAAATAAGTTGACCCCAGTGGTGCGATTCAACCCGTGAAACTACCGGTTTGGTGAGCATGCATACTCTACATTTTAAAAAGCCCATTTTCAACATAATTACTTACCTTCTGCTGCATCCCGGGTGAGTAAAACAGCTGATGCACGGCAAACTGCTCTGCTGTGCGAATCAGCTGTGCTAAAAACCCAGGAAATAAAGCACAGGAAAAAGCAGGAGTGGGTGGGTGGGGCCAAATGATCACCAGAACTACCGGTTTGCCCGAACCAGTAGAATCCCACCCCCGGTTGATCCCCTCTTCTTTGTGGCAGCCTCCTCAATGCTGTTATCATGTCGCCCCTATTCTTTTCTCTAGTCTGATCATACCTAATTGCTACAACTGTTCTTCATATGTTTTTGTCTCTAGGCCTTTAATCATCTTAGTTGCTCTTCTTTGCACTTTTTCCAAAGTCTCAACATATTTTTTGTAATGTGGTGATGCAGTATTCCAGGTGTGGTCTTCCTAAGGTTTTCTAAAGCGATACTAATGTGAACTTCATGTAAACTTCATGTGATTTTAATTCTATGCCTCTGTTTATACAACCAGGGCTGGTATTAGCATTTTGGGCTGCTGCTGTACACTGCTGGCTCATATTTCAGTGATTGTCCACTAGGAGTACAAGGTCCCTCTCACAGTTACTGTTTTTGAGTCAGGTTTCACCTAATCTGTACTTGTACCTTTGGTTTTTCCTGCCTAAGTGTAAAACATTGCTTTTCACCACATTAAATTTCATGTTGTTGGATAGGGCCCATTGTTCAGGTCTGTCAAGATCTTTTTGGATCATGAGATTGTGTTCTGGACAGTTGCTATTCTTGCCAGGTTAGTGTCATCTGCAAACTTGATGAGTTCCCCTTCTATTCCCTCATCTAAGTCGTTTATGAAGATATTGAAGAGTACTGGGCCTAAGATGGAACTTTGGGTACCCCACTGCTTACTTCCCTCCATGTAGATGTAATATCATTAAGGACTACTCATTGAATACAATTTGTCAGCTAGTTACAAATCCATCTGGTGGTGATGCTGCCTATTTCACATTTTTCTACCTTATCAAGAAGTAGGTTGTAGTCTACATCTAAGTATATTATGCCTACAACATTTCACCGGTCTGTTAATTTAGTCACTTTGTCAAAGAATGAAATAAAATTAGTTTGGCATGATCTGCTTTTAACAAACCTATGCTCACTTCTAGTTATAACTTTATTTGTTTCTAGATGTTTACAGATTTGTTCTTCTATTTTTTCCAGTATCTTCTCAGGTATCGATGTTAGGCTGATTGGTCTATAGTTTCCTGGGACTAACTTTAACTTTACTAACTTAACTGCAGTGATTCACTTAACAACTGTTACATAAAAGCAAGAAAGATGAGTGAAATTCACTTAACAAATGTCTCACTTAGCAACATAAATTTTGGGCTCAATTGTGGTGGTATGTTGAGGATTATTTGTATTGGTTTCTTGCAATAAATAAATATTTATTTATTATTTAACTTAGCCAAGCCAAGAGATCTCCTTAACTTAGCTAGGATCTGCTTCTGTTTGAAAAGAGAACTCCAATCCTTTAATTACAAAATATGTTCCTGGTTTCATATAATTAACTTTAAAAAATAGCGGGCAGAGAACAAAAGCCCGTATCCATCCATACCATACCTGAATTGCATTCCAAACACAGACACAATTTAATAACCTTTCAGAGAGCCTGGTTTTATACATATCTTCTGCATGCAGCATGAAATAAATGAGTTCAAAGGAGCTTTCATGCCCTTCAACTTTCCCAAATCACCTGGGGATTTCACTTGATAATCCCAGGTGAACATCTGCCCTTCGGAAATGTTTATCCATGCACAGTAGGGGAATACGTGTTTGTCCTGGTAAGTATGAATGAAATGAATTTCATGCATCGCTGTATCTCTTTAACAAGCAGGTGGAGAGCTAAAGGCTTAAAGAGCAGGTTTCCAAAAGCTGCTTAAATTGACGTGATTTGCTTCTGAGTCACGGGGCATTAACTTCTGAGGAAAAAGGATAAAAGTCAATAGGAAGAAAAACGACAACGGCCTATACTTCCTACCCTCTCTTTCTGTTGAACTCTAAAGGGATGGATACTTTCTTCCATCTCAGGAGCAAAGTTGGGAGACCGGAATGAGCCACTTCCGGCACCAGCTTCCTCCCCGCCACCCACCAGCTGGTCCTTCTGAAGCAAAGCAGTTCCATTGTTAATTCACCTGCTGGTTGTTAAGGTGGCTATCCTGTGATCTGTCAGGATGACCAGTGCGTTGGCTGGAACTTGGATTTTTCTGTGTCTCTAAAACTCTTACCTGGTTGAGAGAACAGCAGAACTAGGGGTGGGATTCTCCCAGTTAGGACTGGTTCGGACGAACCCCTTGTTCTGACGATCAGCTGACTCCAACCGGTTTGCTCCGACGAGCATGTTGGCCTGCTTGCCCGCCTCTGCTCTTTCTTGTGCTTTATGTCTTTTTGTTAGAGCACAGCTAATTCGCGCAGCAGAGCAGTTTGCTGTGCCTCAGCTGTTTTCTTCAGCTGCAGTCGAAGGTAAGTATTAGCTTTTTTAAATGTAGAGCACGCACACTCACCAAACCAGTTGTTATATCGGTTGAATCACACCCCTAAGCAGAACTCCCCATGTCACTCAAAATGTTGTTGATGTGGGAAACAGAAAGACCTGGTGACTTGTTTGGAGTCATGGTCTGCTGTACTAACCTAAGCTAACAGTGCTACTATCCAGTTTCTCCTACTCTTCTATTTACCCTTTGGCAATTATGGAATTGCTAGCAAACATTTTCCTAGTAGAAAATCAAGGCAAAATAACCTGCCTTTAACAAGTAGGAGTTCACCTCCTGGTGTTTTGTCAAAAAATTGATAACTGTACCTCTGAGGGAAAAGGAAAATATATTTCACTGACCTACGGTAATGCTTGCAGTATATATTCTGATTTATGCAAAGCATTAGATGACCATCTAGGAGTCATAATGGATCCCAAAATATAACTAGCAAGTTGGTCTTGAGTTACAACTTTTGTGTCAGGATTTATGTCAACTCATAAAAGATTTCTACGGCCATTTTATAGTTGTCCCTTTGACTTTCTTTGTAATTTTCTGGATTATTAGTGGCATTAAAGTAGTCAGTAACTCTCGCTATTGGTCACATTTTGTGATAAAATGTAAACAGAAACCTTTTTCTTTCTAACTAAAAATAACCTCTTTCTTTCTTACTAAAAATAAAAATATATATGGAAAATACATTATACATTATACTTTGCAAAATATTTAGCTTTACAGTGGTACAAAGGCATAGACCCTGTATGATAGAACGGGGTTTGAAGCTAAAGGCTTCTGATTCATCTTGGCTTCATTGTAAGCTGAGTGAGCAGATATAAAATGCACTCTCCCCAAATAAAAACATCAGTCTCAAACCTTGGATCATATTCTGCTTCTTCTTCTCACACTTTCTGAGCCAAAAAGTAATACCAAGTCCAAGTCAAAATTTTAGGCATTTCCTTACTGAGTTGAATGCGAGACTGGGAACAGATGTCTAAGTTTCTGGATGCAATTTTTATAATTGGGGGCCTTTCACACAGTCTCTTTAAATTGGATGTAAGGTGCTGCATCTGAATCCTGAAATCTGTCTGAAGAAACCCTTTTATTGGAAGCTAAAAAGTCTTGAATTCTATTCTTAATATATGTATTTATCTAGCAGGTCATTAACATTCCTTTTTCAGTTGTTTTAGTCATTGACTGCACTAAAAGTTAATATTTTATTTCAAAAGGGATTGACAGGACCTGATGGATCACCAGGTTTAGCCGGTTCAAAAGGACAAAAGGTAAGATTAAACTATTTCATTACATTTCCTTCCCATTTTTCAATCTCCAGACGTTTTTATTTAATTATAGGATTGGAGGTGCTTTCCAGTTGCTAAATAATAATAATGATAATAATCTTAATAGGTGGATAAAAATGCCAAATCCAGTGGCTGACTGTATGATGGACCATAATAACAACCCTATGTATCTTTTATATCTATACCTCTGTATTTCTATCTATATATATCTACTAGCTCGATACCCGTGCTTCACTATGAAATATGTAGTTGGGCTTAGTTTTGGGGGAGGAAAATAAGAGGGGAAAATTCTGCCTCTGCCCACCAGCATCCATCAGTATTCATTTGGCTAGTGTCCTGTTAGTGTGTGAGAGAGTTGAGGGCTGTTTGGAAACTGAAATAGTATTTGCTGTGTGAGCAAGAAGGAGACAGCAAGGAGCCTGAGTGTGGCTTAGCTCAACTGTTCTGTAACTAAAGCTGCTTGGTGCTGTGAAACTAAAACTGAAACTCCTCTCCTCTGCTTGTGTTTTGCATTTGGAACAGATTTCTTTTCAGGTGGGGAGGGGAACTTCTTAGCATCAGAGCATGTTAATAATAATATACGAAATACTAATGCTCTGATGGTCATTTTGACAAATCCTTTCTTAGTGAGCACCTAGAAGCCAAGAGGAACATATGTGGCAAATTTCAAGTTTGTAGGCTTTAAGGTTCTGGAGATTTTGTGATGATGCGTGAGTGGTATTTCGCGTATATATAGAGATAGATATTTATCTATATCTATATCTATATCTATATCTATATCTATATCTATATCTATATCTATATCTATATCTATATCTATCTATCTATCTATCTATCTATCTATCTATCTATCTATCTATCTATCTATC